CTTAGAGAATAAAATCCCTACATTACTGGCTTCCTCACTGGCAAAACAAATACAATCAGAATCTCCTATCGTAAAATGTTAATCTATAGTAAAATAGTTATAAAAGTAGTATTCTAGAGTCAACTAAAGGAAAGGTATAATGATGAAAGCTGAGATTCTATTCAAACACCAAGCTTTCGATAGACAAAGTGGGGAAGCCAGTAATATAGGAATTTTATTATCCATGTAAAGTTGAGACAGCTTAATCTGCTATGTGATCATTAGATGGATCAAGTGATATGTCCACTTCTATGCTTGTCTTGTTTGGTTCCTTGTTTTCAAGTTTAGTTTAGTAGTCAGCCCTACATAACTTTTTTATTTAGCAATAAATTTTGATATTTGACATGTGATCGGAAAAATATATTCATGGTAAGATTTGTCTAAATTTATCATTTATATAAGTTTTCCATATATTATAGTCCTTTTAATGTTTTCTCCAGGAGACGCTGATGGTCATTTTGGTTTTCTAGAGATACATAAGAGTGTATAGTTTTATAGTTGTACTCTAACCAACCTCCATTTGGCAGGGTTCTGATCTGCAGCGCTCCTTCTGGTTAGAATTCGTCTATTTATCAGCAGCGTCTTTCAGTTTTATAAGTGTTACATGCTTATTTATCAACAACAGATTCATTTCTAGTTACCTTGATTCTGCCCAAGTTAGCCATCTTCATCTAATGTCTGTTTTATTCGTGACCACCCTCTTTGTTGACACTGTATTATTATTATTGACTTTTTTTACACCAGGGTTTTTAAAAGTACAACTCTGTTCTTAATATACACCCGATTAACTTCCAGTCATACATTCCAACATCATATACATATATATATATATATATATACGTGTATAATATATTGTTTAAAGGTATATATATATATATATATACGTATATAACATATTAGTTAAAGGTATATATATATATATATATATGTACGTGTATAATATATTGTTTAAAGGTATATATATATACACACACACGTGTATAATATATTGTTTAAAGGTATAAATATATATATGTATATACGTTTGGACCTTGTTGCTAAAGTATACATATATAAGTGTGTATGTAATTTATTGTTAAGGTGCGAATCGAAAACTTTTATAAACTTTTTACACTGTCATTAGTATATCTCAGAGGCTAGAGTTAATCAGTTAATACCAGGGATCTTCACGCCAGCTGGGACACATCAAAAATAGTAGTGTTTGAGACGCTATTTGTATCATCAATTACTTGAACAAAACCTGTTTCGGTGAGAGACAGATTAAGCTGGTGAACTACAATTGTTACTAAACTTTTTAAAATCATAATACATCATATATAAGCTACTATATATCACATAAAATCGATATCCGGTAAAGTTACGCTAGGGTCAGTCTCATTAAAAAAATGATATCGGGGTTAATGCCATAGTAAAATGATACCATTATTAATGTCATAACAAATTGGCATCAGGGGCAGTGTCATGGCGTAATGATGTCATGGTGAAAAGATATCAAAGTTAATTTCGTAGTAAATTATATTATGATTAAAGTATTATAAAGTGATATACATATATATATATATATATCCGAGGAATATCAGGTAACAGCATGTTTGTATCATTACATCTTGCATGAAAGTATGCGAGTTTTCCCCACAAGGTGACTCTGTCCCTCAGAGGAGGCCAGATGTAATGCAACTGTGTGATCTATTTTATTTTACAAAATAAAAACTGCTACTTTTTACAAAAGGTTATATTTGTGTATTATTATTATCTAGCAAAAAAATAAATTATGTTAATTTTTTCTTCGTGCATCTTATACGAATTAAGAAACAAACAACTAGTCTCACTAACAAAATCAACAATTTTTGATTTCATAAATTCATTATTATCAGTTACAGCAATATATTTTTATGCAATATTTTTAAACTTTTAATAAACGTAAAACATTTGTTATGAGATCTTATAAACCCTAATACATCATTTTTTCGGCAGAGAGAGATTTCTAGTGTAAAAACAGTACATCACCTGGTGTTACAGTTTTTCGATAAATTCATAATTGGTTCGAAATTATTTTCTCGTAGTACTTATTTTGCTGGCACAGACTTCTACAGTTTGAAGTGTTTTTAAGATGCTGAAGCTATATAAATACACCCGAGTTATCGGGCAAGAGAGAGGCTGATAACCTACGTGCTTATGTAAAGAAAAATATACAGTTAGATATTTTGTGCTTATCGTTGAGAAGTCGTGAGTGCAATTAAAAAAGTTACCATGCTATATTGTTTCAGTTGATATTCCTGTAGTTGTATTTTCTTGATAATGAAAATAAGCACGATTATACTTACGTAAATATTGTATATAATGATTCTTTAATTTTGTTTGTTTGTTTTTGGAATTTCGCGCAAAGCTACACGAGGGCTATCTGCGCTAGCCGTCCCTAATTTAGCAGTGTAAGACTAGAGGGAAGGCAGCTAGTCATCACCACCCACCGCCAACTCTTGGGCTACTCTTTTACCAACAAATAGTGGGATTGACCGTCACATTATAACGCCCCCCCGGCTGAAAGGGCGAGCATGTTTGGTGGTATGCGGATTCGCACCCGCGGCCCTCA